CTAAAAGGAACCACAGGACTAGGAGGCAAGGGGTATCTTACTTGATAGACTAAGTTTATTTTTATCGAAAATACTACCTAGGTAGGTTTCTTATATTGATTATTGTGCAGTTTAATTCCTACAATCTTCACCCACGCCTGGATGCCGGATTTTCAGCGAGCTTTTTGCAAAATTCTCCCTCTAAAATGGCTAGTTACGTAGTAGGCGTCTTTCTAACTCGTTTTCGATGCCCTTATGCATGTGCGAAAATCGTCTTTATTGAACTCATTTTGTAGGCAGTTAAACCGGTTCTTCCAAATTTATGCTTGATGAAACTTCGATTGTGGAAATAGTTTTTTATCCGGCTCGCTGTTACACTTGCATCCAGCATTTACAAACTACAAGCCTTGATGTTTCCTTGTAAGAAACGTCGTACTATAAATCATATGGAGCTCCTAAAATTGTGTTATGGCTGTGGGCCATTTTGTATACTTTAGAACAAACACCAGTAAATGGACAGAGGCGATGCTTTATAAAAGACGGATTAACAGTATTTAAAAATCTCATAACGAGGAACTTTTAAAGACGAATTTTTTTTTCCTTTTTCGAGTGCGAATTTTAAAGAAGACGTAATTGACTACCGAATAAGTTTTTAAAAAAGCTTAATTTTGCACATTTTTTCTAGAAAATAAGCCTATGGAAATTCGATGAGCAAATATTCTACTACTCAGGTCGTCGGAGCGAAGGTTGTCAAATCTGGCATTCTGGCCCGCCTAAAATATCTTGCAGTTAGGCTGCACTATACTAGTAGTACAACCCGCCTAGAGTTTACTTTTTGTTACTGAAACCCTATTTTAGAATTTCATTTAACACCTCTTGTTAGATAGCCTCTGGTCATTCCAAGTTATGTGATCTCCGAACCAGTCACAGACAAGACCTTACCTGTGGGAACCAGAACGTGTGTGGCGCGTGTAGGTCATTGTCACTGATGTGGTCCCCCGACCAATCACATACAGCACCTTGCATGCGGGAACCAGAAAGTTTGTGACGCGTGTGGACGGACTGCAGTGCTGGTTTTGTGGTCGTGGACTCTGTGTGTACCTGCAGCGCACGTGGTAGATTCTTTCGCGGGCAGTGGTAGAACTTTTATGCGGACTGCCGTAAACGCTACTAGGTTTCAGTTTTTGCGTTTTTTATGCGAAATATGACTGCGTAACCAAGGGGGCTGCAGACCGCAAGATCTAGTCGGGTTCAGTGGCAAATGGCTGTTGTCTTAATCTTCCCCCTTTTATGTTTGGGCGACGGGATAGATTCCGCAAGTGGAGGTTTGAATAGGTCTACTCAGGTAGATTAATACAGCACTGTCTTGAGCTAAGGTACACTTTCATCCAGGCAATCGTATTCCTGACCACCGACCTGCACCCACTGCAACTCGTACACATGTGCCACTAGACATTCTCTCTCTCTCTCTCACTGTAGTGCATACCTGGCTTGTTTTCTTCAGGAAGTTTATTATTGTATAAAAAAGATAAACCAATGTACCCTATCTTACAAGACCCTTCAACTTTTATCCTTTCAGTGACTAGCTCTGTGCTGCGAATCCCACCTCAGCAGCTCAACACGAACATCAGCAAACGCATTTGTCTAAGAAGAGTGTATTTAACCGCACAACAGCTCACTCGTTACCAGCTGTCAATTAACATCTGATCTAACCTTAGCTGCCCAACCCTGCGCTCATTAGCACTAACGAGTAATCACATGCTGGTCGGGCTAACTCCTTAACTGGCGGGGAGGGAGGGAGGGAGAGTTGTTTTTGCTTCACTGTTTCTCACCCCTTTTTTGTTTGTTTTCACACCCTTCAGAAATCCTTCACATCAATCTCCTGAAACGCCTGGACAAGCGCCTGGGGATCAAGCTAGTGGGCAAGAAGTAAGTTCTGTCGCCCCCCCCCTCCCTTCAGCACCCTCTGTCACACTGCTTCCCTCAATTGTCTCTTTGCAAATCTAGCTTTCGCGGCTTTCGAATTTGAGCCACCCATTTTTTTTGCTCTCCATTCACGT